CGAACTCATTCGAAACTTGAGTCAGTGAAGATTGGCAAAAATTAAAGTGGCCATACTTTGATAATAGAACATAGTATCCTAACCGTTTTTAGGGAATGATTTCTGTGTCCACACAGAGTACAGTCTTTCCGAAGTCAGTTGAACACGTATAAAAACGCCTAGCAATAAAATTTAATGAGTTTCATAGGCACCCCTAAAGAAGTTTTCTGCTAAAGGTAAAAAATTATATAATTTGTATATAACGTGTAGAAAATTTCTATATGTTCATTTGACATATTTTAATTATTTATGTCCTCAAACAATTTTATTATATTGATGGTAAATTTCATTTTGTTCCATTTCAAAAGGTATCTTCGCAATTGTAATATAAATGATTAATAGAAGGTGCCTATAATAAATTAAAATTACTGAATCACACCAAATTCCGCATTGCTGAACTGCACTGCTAGGCCATTTGTTGACAATTGAATTTATGGGCAGGTCGCCCAGTGCGACTGTGTTTGTGCTACGTTTTCACGCGCGCCCATTCATCAACTGGGCGACCAGACCTGTATATGGGTATGACTACATAAATATGGGAACAAGTTTTTCAAATATTTCTAAGTCGAGTTGCTGCGTCAGCGTCCGAACTTAGTACCGACATACTGCCAATCCCTTGGTTCTTCAACTGAGGTGGGAAAGACTATACTTTAGCGATGAAAAAATTTCGAATGAAACTTACGAAATAAAGAATTAATTTTTAGGTGGCCGACCCTGAGGTTTCGAATGGGGTTGCACCTATACTTTCAAAATATTTTTTTTGTAATCTAATTGCTTTTTTAAAATTAATTTTTCTCCATAGTGATATCTTTTTAAATTTTAATTTCATATTAACATTCATTTTTCAAATTTCATAATGTAGTAACTTAATAAATTAATATTTTTCGAAAAACAAGAAAACACCTGTTTATCCATCTGTTGAATATTAAAAAAATATTCTGTAAATGTGTATCGAACACTTTTCAAAATCTCAGGGTGGGCAAAAAATCATCCCCTAAAAACAATATGGGTCCCAGATTTACTATAAAAATATGATCACAATAAATTTCAAAAGCCGTCATTGCTTGGGCATCAGAGTTGACAAGCCAAGTCACCCTATCCGATATCTCTATAGTGAAATCTCAAAAAATGTAGATACGTACCTTGTCACTGGTGTATCCAAGAATTTTATCTCTACTAATTCCTTGAGGACAAACGTATACAACACGTTTTTGAAAAACGTTATGAAACGTAATTGTAGCATATGTTTCTAAGGTTGATATACCTACATTGTAGTTCATCTTTAACGTAATATTTTTTGCTTTCGGCTATATAATCATACGTTTAAGAATCATAATAAATAAATTTATTATGATTCCTAAACATTTATGTTCTATCTAGCTAAACGAATGGTAAGAAGTAAATCACAAATCCAATTTGGTGGTAATAGTTTTGTAAAAAAGATGCAATTTTAAATATGACTGAAAATCAAAAATCCATTGAAACATTGTTTCAATTAATTAATAATATTGTAGGAAACAACTACTCTGTGTACTAAAGCCCTGTCCAGCATTGAATTACGCCCACAACATACTAAACAACTAAATTCATTCATCAGTATAATTCTCACCTACACTTAAAATTTTGTTGGAATTTAAATAATTAACCATTTTCTCTCATTGGTTAATTACTTTTGAACATTTATTTTATTAAATTATAGATTTAATAAAAAAGACATAATTATGTTAGATACTTAGTACTTACCTATATACAAAAATAATCATTGAGTGGACTGAACACATTATTTTTTAGATTTAAAATGAAATATTTATAAATGCCAAACAAGGAGGGTCAGGAAAAAAATATGCACTTATGTTGAAGGGATTTAAAAAAACCGATAATAATTTATTTATTACATACCATATTATAAAACTTTATCTGTAAAGGATGATTCTTTCGTTATGCAGTTTAGGAAATATTTTCTTTTGTTAATTTTAAATCAGGCTAACCTGATTTTAGTAAAAGTGTAACAACAAAGTAGACTTCAGTGAAATATTTGATAACACATATAATACATTCGAAATGAATTTAAAATATGTAAAAACTAACTCACTCAGTCTTAATTCAGAGTCCACGTTTTAAAAAGTTTGTTGGCATCTCTATTGCATTAAATAATCAGGATTATTTTTACAATTATAAATTCAACTGTAAAATTATCTGCACCTCCTGATTTTTTCTGTATAAAATAATTTCTGTCATCAACCCATGTGATAAAAAGCAAACTGAAAAACTGCGGATATGCATTATTTATCTATGCGTATATTATTTTACAAGAAACAGATAATACATTAATGAATAAAATATACATTTTTTATGTCAAATGATATTTATCTCAGTTATTTATACAGGGTGTATCTAAATAACACCGAAAAAATTCAAGGAGCGAATCTCCGATGAAAATTAATAGGTGTCTTTGGTATAAAATTTTTTGAAAAAACCCTCCCCTGAAAAGTTACGCCCCTCCTAAAATTACAAAAAAAAATTGTTTTTCTTTTTTATCTTCCACGTACATCAAGCTAAAGAAACCAAACTTGGTGAACATTATCTGTCAATAAAACTACACTTTTTGAATTTTTTTCAACCCTGAACTATTTTTGTAAGGGGTTGAAATAATCAACCCCTATGACATTTTTTCTTATAATTTTTTTTTCGATAAAATTTTTTCCTTTTAAAAAATATGTCTAAAAAACCCCATTCATTTACTAACTTTTTGATCTCTTCAAGTTTCTTCGAAAAGTTAAGGATTTATGACAAAAAAAAATAAATGTATTGTAATGTATTTTTAAAAAGATGAGCTGTTTAACGCGAGTGTATTTTGCCGAAAGATCTAGTGGCCTGTTCTTTACAATGGAATCCGTAGAAACAAATGTCAATGTCATTTATTGTCATATTAAATAACATTTTATTAAAAAACACTCAACCAAATAGTTGACCTATGATTCTACTAGGCTAAGAAGTTTGGAACTTAGACTAAAAGTGAACAAATGATGAATAATGTTATAACAGTAACAAAAAATAAAAATCTGTCGGATATTGACAATACAATCTACAAAAAATGTTGAAAATGATTGCCTTCAGCTTCAATACAAGCATCTACTCTTGTTCTCATAGAATTGCGTATGCGTTCAAATATTCCTGGTGAATTTTTTATCGTTTCACACCCTGCTACAATGCGGTTTCGCAAATCATTGATATCTTCAACTGGCCTTGAGTAGATCAAAGATTTCAGATATCCCCATATGCAAAAATCCAAAGGATTAAGGTCAGGGGAGCGGGCTGGCCAATTTACATATCCTCCTCGACCTATCCATCGATTGGCATACACCTCATCCAAGTGACGTCTTGCACGTATACTAAAGTGGGCTGGTGCACCGTCGTGCATAAACCATAAACGTTGCCTAATTTGAATGGGAACTTCTTCAAGAATAATAGGTAATTCTTCGAGAAGATGACAATATGAGTCACCATCTAATCGTCGTGGAAGAAAATAGGGACCAATTAAATGATCGTCGATAATTCCGAGCCACACATTTAATGAAAATTGATACTGATGATTTCCTTCAAAAAAGTCATGAGGATTTTCCTCAGCCCAAATATGATTGTTACGAAAATTTCTAATACAGTCTCTTGAGAAATTCGCCTCGTCAGTAAATAAAATATTTCTTAAGAACTGCGGCGCTTGGCCGATCATATTAATAAGCCATTGACAAAAAACCACACGTGGTAAAAAATCTCGAATCAGTAACGACTGCACCCGTTGGAGATGATAGGGATATAACTGTTGTTCTTTTAAAATTCTAAAAACTACCGAATGGCTTACATTTAGGACACGAGCTATTTTCCTGGTACTAGTTTCTGGGGATTCCTCAATTAAATTAAGTACGGCTTCATCGACAGCTTCAGTTCTAACTTCTCGGCTACGGCCACAGTCATGACTTCTCTTTTCAAATTTTCCAAGTTCCCGCAAGCGTTGGTGAATATTTGTGAACGTAGTATGGTGGGGTAATCTACGCTCTGGGTACTGTTCAGCATAAAGTCTTTGCGCTTCCAATGCATTACCGTTAGCATACCCATATGTAAAATGCATATCTGCCATTTCTAAATTCGAATAGTTAACCATATTTTCGGTTTATTAACTAATATTTTCTACACAAAATCATGAAACTTGTGAAATAGTAAGAAACAGTAACAATAAATGACATTGACATTTGTTTCTACGGATTCCATTGTAAAGAACAGGCCACTAGATCTTTCGGCAAAATACACTCGCGTTAAACAGCTCATCTTTTTAAAAATACATTACAATACATTTATTTTTTTTTGTCATAAATCCTTAACTTTTCGAAGAAACTTGAAGAGATCAAAAAGTTAGTAAATGAATGGGGTTTTTTAGACATATTTTTTAAAAGGAAAAAATTTTATCGAAAAAAAAATTATAAGAAAAAATGTCATAGGGGTTGATTATTTCAACCCCTTACAAAAATAGTTCAGGGTTGAAAAAAATTCAAAAAGTGTAGTTTTATTGACAGATAATGTTCACCAAGTTTGGTTTCTTTAGCTTGATGTACGTGGAAGATAAAAAAGAAAAACAATTTTTTTTTGTAATTTTAGGAGGGGCGTAACTTTTCAGGGAAGGGTTTTTTCCAAAAATTTTATACCAAAGACCCCTATTAGTTTTCATCGGAGAATCGCCCCTTGAATTTTTTCGGTGTTATTTAGATACACCCTGTAATTCATGAGAAAATAGGAAAGGTTCATTCATAAGAATATTTATGAATTTTTTTTTAATTTTAGTTCTGTAGAACACTGTTATAAGTACGTAGTGCATACAAACTATCATAGATTAATATAGTTTCACAATTTTTAAATACTGTAATTATGAAAATATACAGTAGACAGTAAAACTACAAAAAAAAATTGTTAAATTGTATTTCATGCAACATATATTGTGTTAAACGCTGATAACATTGCTGACAAGCATTATATAGATATGTGCAATGTAAACGAGCGTTAAATATAATTTATATCTTTTAGTAAGATTAAATATTAATCTGAATTGCGATACAACGGGAAACAAATATAAATACTCCTACAATATAAAGTTAAAACATTTTAATACTAACTGAAAGGCACATAATAATGAGACTGGAATCACTTCCTATAATTTCGCACTTCTATCACTACAGGGCTAGTGGAACTGCTATATTTTCTGTCTTCGTAGTAGTTTCTAGAAGGTTTCCTATAATGGCTTTTCGTTACGGACTTAGTTTCACTTGATTGTATAGTTTCCACGGCTCTACCATCCCTTGACGGTATAGTTTTCTTAGTGAAACTCTTCGTAGTGTTAGTAACGCTAGGACGAACCGGATCATCGTTTCTCGTGGTGGTGTGATAAGTCTCGGAAAAATCTGTACTGGAAGCGCTGCCTCTACGAAAAACCGAGTGATTGGGCGTGGAACTTACTATATGAGTGTCTCTCAACCTCGTTGGAGGTTCATAGATGTCACCGTTGTAGTTCCTGGTGTTCTTCAAGGGCGTGCTATAACCAGTGGGCTTCCAGGAGTCGCTATCGTTCTCCTCCAACGTCTTGAAAAGCTCTGGCGACCGATCCTTCAGATTCGACATAAAAACTTTCTTGTTGTTGTCTACAGTGTCACTGAAGCCGTTTCGAACGAAACGGGTGGTGTAGACTTCTTCGTTCACGTCTTTCTGGCTGCGATTAAGACTTGAAATTAATCCAGGACTTTTGAGCCCAATGGGGTTTTCCTGAAGTTTGCTCATGTGGGGGTTGCTGGTATACATGCTGGACCTTGAGGGGTCTAAACCACCGTGGACGTTCAGGCTTTTGCTTCTGGACAAATTCGACTTGTAGGTCCTGGCTGGTTTCGCGGGACCCTCGAGTTTTCTTGGGGCGGAAACGGTGTTGATGATAGAAACGTTGATGGTGCTGTTCGACTTGTTGTTTTTCTCCAATCTAGTCGGTGGTTCTTGCCTTGACATGTGCCGGGGGAGCGTCTGAGAACTTCTCTCTTCGTCGACCGAACTGCTCACGAGTCTGCCAGTGGACTTACTGAACCTGCCCAGCGTGCTCTGGGACCTGTAACATGGAGTGGAAAGGAATTTGTTAATACGGGAGGTTGTGGTATGTCCCACGCGGTGAGTCGTGTGACCATAAAAAATTAATTAGACTAGTATGCCATGTAAGTGCACCATAAAAAGTGAGTTGGCTAAGGACATTTTTATTGTGGGTTTTATTTAAATACGCTAGTTGTCTTCGCTTGATCGCAATGAAAAGCGTTTTAATATTTATAAGATTAAGTGTCCTTATTTGGTAACTAAATCGGGAGCATATTAGGTAACTTTTGTTAAGGTCCTTTCAAATATTTTTAGTACCCAGTTGCAAGCTATCTGCAAATTAAAACCCACGCAGTCTGAATCATTTTTATCTATAGTAATATGGTTATGTAAAAGGAATTTTTAAATAACTTATAAATAATCAATTATGCATGAATTCTTTGCTGTCGCCGAGTTGTATACATTATACACTAAGCGATTAATTTAACAGTTTATAAGAGAGTGCAAGAAGCTTGTAGTAATTGATGAAATTTTCATATTGGTAAAAATAATACTGAGATACAAACAAGTAAATGTTAATGTTTTACCAAAATTGAAATTTTCATACACGTGCGAAAGCTTTGGCATATTTACCTTATCGATCTATTTTTGTACGGCACCAATTTTGTCACGTCATATTTTAATTTAATAAAATTACAAATGTAGTGTATTAGAATTTTATTTCAAATACTTTTTTTATATAAAAATACAATAAGTAGGCATAACAGTCAAACACTATGTACTCTTCTAAGTGGTGTTAGTAATATATACATACAGATATTTTAAAATATCGAATTATGATTTACTGCCATGACAGGAAACTATATAAATTTATTAGTGTATACAACTATGTTAAGTACTACAGATATACATGTTTGCAAAAAGCGAGTGAGTAAAAAATAATTAACAGTATGTGAAATTGTGTTACAAATTCTAGTATATATTTCTTATTCCCTTTTATTCTTCTGTAGGTATCTTTTATTTATTATTTGCAAAAATAAGTGTAATTTGTTATAGTTTTAATAATAGTAAATTTTATTTTTACATTTACATAGCGTAGAGAATTTTTATAATTGTTACAAAGTTTATTATTTTTATGCAAAATACTATACATATATGGACAGTGAATATTGTCTTTAACTAATGATCTCGACTCAATATTACTTCAACTTCTGAATTCAGCTTCTTTTTATTGATCTATTTTAACGAACATTTAGATAGAAGTCGTGAAAACGCATCGAAAACATGCCCCATTTACTTTATAATCCAAAGCCATGGCCAACTCCGACTACCTTTTTTCGGTGCAAAATTAGAAAACTATATATTATTAGGAATATTGAAAAGGAAAAAAATATATTTCCAGTTTTTTCAACATCAGAATAAAGAGTGTTTTATATAATGAAAAACAGGTTTTTAGTTAATCATAACATATATTTCAATATTTCTATGTATCAATTAATTAATTTGAACAGTTGAACTAAACCTACTTTTATTCTTTGTGTTTTTAATCGATTATAATATTTTTTATTACGTGTTTTACAATTTTTGTTTCATGTGTTTCAATTATTTATGTATTTGTTATCTTTACGTACTTTACATTATTGCATTCTTCCATTAATTGAATCATTTAGGTTTACCTGTAGATCCAAAAAAAAATTTCAATTATAAAAAAATGTTTAACAAATAAATATTGTTAAAGACCGAATCTAGTTTCAGAATATTTGAAGCAAAGCTCCATTACATGCATGCATGCAATGCATTAGTTGATAAATAATAACTTAAACATTTTTACTCTCTGCTGAAAAAACTGCAATTATTATAATATTTCAGTTTTTTTAAAATCATTTATGTGGACTTTTTTCAATTGAATATAAAAATATGTTAAATGGTTTTGTACCAAATCTGTGTTGCTCGAATAACGCCCGTCAATTTTTTAATAATATTTGTTTATTTATTTACTACACCATTCAAGAGATGAACTAATTACATAATAGGTACTACATAATTAAAAATATAGTAATAATATTTAAAAAAAAACACATTAAGTACTTACAATAAAAAACTAAAAGTAACAGAAAAATAGTGAAACAAAATTATAAAATAATAAGAATGTTGATCATTAATATGTTACCAGTATTTTAAATACCGTACTTATTTCAAACACTGAATATTACGAATAACCTTGAGTAAGAATCCTTCATGGTATTTCCTTAAAAAAATATATTAATCTTTACATATTTGCGTTAAAACATGGCCGTAGTTGGTCACGGCTTTAATATTAAAGTTCTTTCATGAAGTCTAAACAAGAAGGTAAGATAAGTGCGAAATATTTTAGAGGGTCGTTGCCAAAGTTATTTTGTGAAAAAAAGTTTATATAACCATATGTAGAAATATGCTTCGTTTCGGAGATACAGTGTTTAATTTTAATTTTTTATTTATTTTTATTAGTATTCTTTTATTAATTTTAATTTTTTATTTATTCAGAGTTCTAAAGATTTTGATACGAAATTTGAAAAACGCTTTGGAGGGAAAAATGTACATTTTTTGGTGTAATCCGAATATTTCTATTTGCACCAGTGGCGTTCGTGCGAAAATGCCACAACCTTTTTTAATAAAAAAAATATGGTACGCCACTGACTTTTTCCCGTTTTGATATTTTTTTAGAAATTCGACATCAATTATGAATGAAATTGGTCTCTTCAATTTTTTTCGTAGGATGTACCGTTTTTGAGAAAAAAATGAAACATATTTTATTGCAAGTTGTAAATTTTTAATTTCTATTGATACATGATTAACTTCGAGTCAATATCTTTAAAATTCTTTGAAATAATTAATAAAAATAAATAAAAAATTAAAATTTAAACACTGTATCTTGGAAACGAAGCATATTTTGACCCACGTTTATATGAACTCAATAACTTCAACAACTACCTCCTAAAATACTTTGCGCTTATATACAAAAACCCTGTATGTGTATCAAAAGTTACAACAAACGGAATGTTTTTGAAAAAAAAAAGTCAGTAGGTAAAAATACATTAAGGGATATACTTTAAGGTATGAATTTGAAATCATGTTTTAGGTTTTTTACTAAAATATATCATATATCGCACTGATGACAAAATTTTAATTTTGAGAATGGGTCATGTTGCTCTATGAGCTAATTTGTACTTTTTAAAACTGTCTAGGTTTACTACTCTAGCTTCTTTATAAAATAATGTTTTGTTCAAGAACAGACTAACATCGCTCAAGATCTTTCAGTAATTATCCTTAATCTTTCTCCTTCATCAAAATGGATCTCTATGTCCATAAATAATACTAGTGCTGTCTATATTTAGCTCAAAATACTTATTTAAAAGATACATTTATCGATGAATCATTTCTAATGTGACACAGAGCGTAATTCTAGGTAAACAATCTCATAAAAAAACTATATAGGAAATGGAAACCGAATCATGAACTGAAAAACTAGCATCTCCGTATTTGTACACACACAAAAAAAATTGTATCTCAACCTCGCTCTTTACACGACCTCACCTAACACTGACAACTACTTAATATAGTAATACGAATAAGCCAATCAAGGTCACAGGCTAACTACACAATACGCCCAAATCTACAATGCCGTTTTGTTTACACAGTACACTTGGATGGGCAGGAAACAATTAAATACCATGTAAACAAAACATTCTCTAGGTGATTTTCCTTACCTTCTCTCTTCCTGAATCTCCCTGGGTCTCCTGGAGGTCCGAGCCGGTTTCACCCCATCGTACTTGTTCTCCCTCCCGTAGATGCTGCCCGCGAAAGGGTCTTCCCCAAGGTAGTAGCGTTGGACCGGCGGGTGGCGGTCCATGTTGTGGCCGATGTTGTTGTCTATCACGTGTCCCTGCTGGTAAGATGGGCTGGGAGATCGCTTGGCGCGCTGTCTAGCCTTCCTCTCAGCACTAGCCGAACGAATCTTTCCAACTAGCTTGCGGATGGATTGGCCTGCGGAGAGAAATTAATGAATAAATATAAGGTGACGTTGCGTCGCGATACGGTGATGTGTTTGTTAACAAGTCGTTGGAATGTCACATTAGATTCTTGTGGTAGGCACAAAGCGATTTTTTAACTATGAGCTTATTGTTTCGAATTTTCTTCAAAGTCAAAAGTTATCAAAAACGGAAATAAACTAGTCACAAAAATTAAAGTATAAAAAATCCTACATTTTTAAGTGATTCAATAAAAATCTTCAATGTTCAGACGATAGACTTTTAATTCGATTCAATTTATCCACCGTTTAGAATAAATTATCCTGCCGTGTCGTACCGTGTGAACGGGGGTTCTGAAATAACAATGAAAAACACATATTGGAGAAAAAAATCTGAAAATTATTCACGCCAAGGTCGTTCAAAGGTTAGTATGTCTAGGAAGTATACTAGTCCAATCTAATTAGATCATAAAACCTGAAAATGTAAAAAAGGTATTAGTAATCATTTTAGTGCACTTTATGACGGTGATGTAGAATGATAATATGAAAAAATTAACTCGAAAAAAGTGACGCTAAGTTGGCAAATTGCAAGTAGGTAAGTGGCAATATTACGTGTTCATTTCAAAATTAGTTATTTTATGTTGTAGGCAACTAAATTACCTACAATTTAAAGTCACATTTCACCAGTTTGTTAACGGTAAAATAAAGATCGAACGCAGAAAAATCAGTTTTCGAAAATTGCCCATTACTGTCAAGAAAAAAAAATGTCAAAAAGTTGAAATTAAGTTGCTCTTACAACTAACAAAGTAAGATGTGAAAAATGTGTTAAAAATAAATTGTCCCAGGGTCAGACAAAATCCGCTCGGGAATTTGCTCTTTTTGCATAAATAAAGCTTAGATGTTAAATAAATAAATGAAATATTAGATAAAAAATTTTACGCGCAGCCGAGAGCAGTGCTCACGCGCATGCGCACACCCTGTGGCCCTTCTTGCGCGCCCAGGCCGTTCATTAATGTTAACTTTTACTGCTTCTAGTGCGGTTATCACATAAATTATTATCAATGCAAAACTTTTTGAAATTTTAACACTTTCTTTAATTGTCCCTAAAATCCCGGTCCGATACGTCCAATAGGGATCTTGGGAAGGTGATTTTTTTGTTAGTTACCGTAAAAATAAGCTTTATTTAATATAAAAGAGCGAATTCCCGAGAGGCTTTTGCCTGACCCTGAGACAATTTATTTATAACGCTGTTTTGCACATCCTATTTTGTTAATTGTAAAGAGCAACTTTTTGAAATTTTTCTTTTTCGATACGTTTCTTTGAATTAGAACTTAACTATATATATATATGATATTAATTTCTGAAATCAACGTTTAGTAATTAAACAATTAGTTGCGAAAAACGAACGAAATTAATTAACAAATACCTTTTCCATATATTTCATCAGCGTCCATCGCTTTTTGAAATAATAATGGGCAATTTTCGAAAACTGATTTATCCGCGTTCGACCTTTATTTTACTGTTAACAAATGAGTGAAATATGACTTTAAGTACCTTAAATTGTAGGTAATTTAATGGCTTAGAACATAAAATAACTAATACTCCGATAGGTTGTCTAAATTTTCGTGGGCAATAAAAAAAGTGAAAAAACAGGTTATTTCAACACTTATTTGCAATTTGCCAACTTAACGTCACTTATTTCGAGTTAGTTTTTTTGGTATTATCATTCTACATACCCTTTACCGTCATAAAATGCAGTAAAATGTCCACTAATAATTTTTTTACGTTGAAAATATTCACTGGAGTAGACTAGGACTTGTATTTGTTGTTAAAACCAGGTGTGGAATATTACTGGTTATAATAATATTTACTCCAATGTCGTTTTGCCCAAAGGTCAGTGTACACATTTAGCATTTACATTGTTGTGATATTAGGTAAGATTCTAAATAAAGTGCCTACGCATCCAGTGTCATCGTAGATTCAAAATTAAACTGATCATGATACTACTACCAAAGAAATAAATTTGTAGTTTCCACCGTCCTGAAAAAATTTGAATTAAAAATACCGTTGACAACGAAACTAAAAACTGATATTAAAACAAATTCTCGGTTCTCGCAAATATTCGTTCTGAAATGATCCTGACCTTACATTTCTAAGATAACACGCTTTTTTTCTACCTTAATGGAAATCATTGGGTAAATATGTTCACATTCCGTCAACAGTCTCGACATCTGAATTTTAAATTTAGTTTGTTATGTTAATTAATGCGGAAACGTTCATAAAAGCGGTTTTGTCAGGTGTATGGTGAATACGCCTAATAGAGCAAATGCAGGACCGGTTTTGATATTTTTCCCCACTGGTAAAACAGAACGTCACCAGCCCACGTATCTGCTTTAAGCTTCAACTTTAAAATGCGTATTTATTTTTAGGATATGACTTGCAGAAATTTTTTGAAGTAGGTAATTATTCAATCCTGTCCAAAAGCATTACATTAGTTTTAAATAAATTTAGTTTAAATAAATTCAGTGTTACTAGTAAATAAATATTAAAAGAATCAAAATCTATGAATGGTGCATTTTAGATAATTTGTAGAAGTTTATTAAGTTTAAACAAATCAAATGTAAACCAGTAACTTCTGATAACTAGTCGGTGACAGATTTAAGGTTAATAGGTCTCTGTTTTCTCTACGCCGCTGTCGTCAGTTTTTTTATCTTTATTTCAAATTTCAGTGCAAAATCTTAACCGATAGCAAATAGTCTATAACAGCGCACCTGTGACAAAAACGGTTTGCAAACTATCAGGAATTTGCTGCAGAAACAATGCTGTAATCTGCATACCAAAGCGTCCGATAATAAATTATTTATTCACAACAACACAGTTATTCGTATTTCATGACAATATTTTAATTCTAAGTATGAACTTATGATATGTGCATGCACCTAACGCACCTATTTCGAACTGTTGATGTTATATTACAATTTTTTGCTATATGCCCGAGGGATATTCTAAAACGTTGCATTTCAGTATATTTTAATTATTATATTAAATTTAATTTATTATAAATACAATTGTAGTGTGCTTTGAATTGTTTTGTGATACTGTCATAAAAGAAGATTCGCTAGCAGGATTGAATGAAAATGTTATTAATGTCATACTTAATATATTTACATAAAGATGAACATGTGAATGTGTTGACTATTAATTACTATGACTATACTCTTGAAAAAAAAACATAATACCGCAGATACTTTGATATCAGTCACCTGTAGTTTAAACATATGTGACACTATTAATTTAAACTATACTTTTTATTCAATTTTTCAAAGATAATCCACAAATTATACTTCTGTATTATGAAATGATGTTAAATAAATTTATCCATATTTATAGAAGAAAGTCATAATCTCATTGTCAGTCTTAATTTTGATGACCATATTTCTCAAGTGTGTATGTTTGTAAAAAATGAAGTAGTGACCTCTATATAAACCATTCTAGTAAAACAACCTTGCCTTAAAATTGTTAATAGTGCTAGACTAGCCATTATACGGTAAAACTACCGTATGTGAGAATTTTTATAAAAGTAAGAAAGTTTGTTGACATTCTTTGTAGTTTCTAAGGTTAAGGATTTCGGTTAACCGAGAAAAAGTGGAGCACTTAATTTCTGAGACCTCACCTTTACCAAATACTTAACAATAAACATATTTTTGCCACGCTCTGTTGTTTTGCTGTGAAAATTTATTGTAAGTTATTCAACAGAAGTTTTCCTATATAAAATGTGCCTACCCTTCCTATAAAGTGTGTTTGGATGTGATCCGAGTTTACGGAAATATGGCAAACTCTTATAAAATATTTTTAAATATACGTACATATTTATAAAAGAATTGTAATTTTCGGCCATAATTTATTTTAGATCTTACAATTAGTGCGTTCCTTTAGTATCATTATGTGTCACATTTTCTTCGAAACTTTTGATCCCTTATGCCATTTTTTTTACAGTTTTTGAGATGAATAAGAATCCATTGTTTAAATTGAGCTAAAAAAATTTACGAATATTTCAGTTTATGATCTTTTTAGCTCTGATTTCCGCTCTTATGCATCGATTTGCTTGAAATTTGGATAGTAGGTGGGGAATGGTTCAGGAAACAAAATACACCCTATGCCGATATATATTTTTACCCTGGGGGTGGGTTCTACTCCTTTGTAGGGGTTGAAAATAAATTTTGTCAATATAATCTCGGGAATCGATAGAGCAACTAATTTCAAGCAAAAAATGTTTCATACAATTTTTTTTTGATAAACCAATACTTTTTGAGTTGTTTGCGATTGAAAACTCAATTTTTCAAGTGAAAATTTTTTGCTCTTGCGCTCTTGCTTCACTTTTCATTCTATACTGTTGCGCGGAATCTTATAATTATGATTGTTATAGGACCGATACAAGACGCTTGAAATTAGTTAGGAAATGTTGCTAACGTCATTATTATTAGTTAATAGTAGTAGTTTCTCTGCCAGTTAAACTACACTAAAAAAACTGAAAATTTCGTTTGAGAGATGTATATCAAAGTGATACTGTATAGTGTGTAATACTTGAATATAACTTCAATTCAGGACATGTGCGTAGCTAGGGGGGCAGGGGTGTGTACGGCCCACCCCTGAAAGCCCGGTACCGACCTCAGAAAAAAAAATATTTTTTTTCATATCCGTAAGTCGCTGACTGCGCCATTTTTTTTATAACCAAGCAAAATAGTGTTTAGGTTTTGAAATATTGTATCGGTAAGTCATTGATTACATTTTCTTTTTAGAAGGTCCCATGGAATGCCCTGGGTCTACCTCAAGCAAAAATCCTAGCAACGCCTATGATTCAGGATTACAGTAATATTGATAGTTTAAACTTAAACTGTAAAAATTAATTCCTTCCAAACAATTCGTTCCAAATTTTGATTTTTGTTGGATGATTATTCTTAAAACTGCATTGTTTGGAACTATAATTTTATACTATTCAACTAATCAGCGACCGCATTATCTCCAGCATTGACGTAACGGTTTGTTATCGTTCATTGTAAACGAATTGGTGACACCAAGACTTAGGGAATTATCGTTACCAGCCCAATCGTGCAATGTGCGGGTGCCTAAGCTCGGCGATAGCGTGGCTTTTAAACATTTATAAAAAATGGAAATTGTCATGTTTAACTTTTAGGGAAATTTGAGATTGAGATTGAGATTTGAGAAGTTTACATACATAACATTTTTCGAAACGTAAATTGTGTTGTGAGTGGTTACTGTTCGTAAAAAATTATATACTAAATCCTTAAAATCATCCCCTGATCTTTTGGTGCAAAAAATTATTTATTATTAAATAATTATTATAATATTACACCAGTAAATACAAATATCTGGAATTTCCAATGAAAATTTTATACTTTATTTTCAATTTGCGTGTAAATGTTACTTTATTATAATAGACTTCTTTATGTATCTCTGTTTAGTAAAGGAATCTGGCAATACTGAAGGAATTGATAATAAAAATGATAAAGCAGTGATCTTTCGCATATTGCCACTGCAATAGACAAAATATATTATTATTATTATTATTACGAAGCTATTTGACTTCTTTTAGGGTTCAAATGTGGTTAAACTGATAAAAGAATAATTATGTATGTAACATTTTTCAACTTATTTTCATTTTGTGACGTAGTTAAAATGTTGGGAGACATCCCATTAAAAAGAACATATCTATACATGAAAATATGGGAACATACCGATAATGTTTCCACTTTTGGCCTTCGGTGGCGGATCAGCGGCAAATCTCGTTTTTTGCATATGCTTTTTCTCAATGGGCATGGGAGGAGGACTAGGTGGTGAATAATCTGGAGGGGGTTCCTCCATACGTTCCATTCTTTCAATTCTCTGATCCCTGTCATCCAGTCTTCCGCTTCTGTAACCATTTTCGTATCTGTAAAATAAATAAAATATAATAAAATAATATAAAATGTAAGAATTGAACAGTGCAAATTAGGTCCAAAATGTGCTAAACAGTTTAATAATAATCAATTTGATGACATTAAACTGGTTGTCACTATCCATTAAATTGAGGTGATTGGAAGTCTACATATAATGCAACTGAACCATGGGGGCCTGATATGTTTTACGGATAGCTCAAAAGCAGAAAGTAGCTTTTGATGTAGTTAGATTGAGAGCGAGATGGTAAAGAAGCTATAGTTTGGATATGCCTAAAAACGTACAACAAGAAATTTTTGCAGTAAGTAGGTATGTTTTTGACAGAGAAACTACGAAGGAAGTATATTGTGGTCTCATCAATATACTCTCCGATAATGAGACTTCAATAAATGTCTTGGATCCAAAGTGTGCCTTCAAAACTTGTTCAGAACTGTTTACAATTGTCAAATGAAGCAGCAAACGCTCAAATGTCAGGTTATATTGGATGCCAGTACATAAAAGTATTAAAGGAAGATGAATAGCGAATGAACTTGCAGCTTTCCTAAGACCTGATCCATATAATGCCTTTAAGATGCTTTATAGAGAGGTGGGAAGAATAGCGCAAATACTGGGTCTCAAGACCAGGACAGAGTCATGTGAAGGTAATGTTGACTGTTTCAATGCAGGAGAGGATTAAGTTAATAGAGAAACCAATCCCTCGGGGTTGCAACTCGGAAGAAGAGTGCCACAGCGTTGCAGTCCTTATCTGTAGAATACCTGTATTTCACTCTGAC